GGGGCAGCCCTGCTTCACCCCTGAGGTGGCCTGAAATGTGGGTGTGTACCCACCAGGCACCCGCACGCACATGGGAACCGTCGCATAAAGGGCCTGCACCGCCCGCAGCGCCCAGCCACCCAGGCCGGCGCTCTCCAGCTTCTGCCACAGCAGATGCCGCGGGACCCTATCAAAGGCCTGCTTGAAGTCCACATAGCAGGCATACAACGGCTGCCCACGCGCCCGCTGCCGCTCAATGATGGCCCGCAGTGCAAGCTGCTGGTCACGGCAACCGTACCCTGGCCGGAACCCCGCCTGGCCAGATGCCCGAATGCCCGCCGCCTCAGTGTGGGTTGTAAACCTGCTCTGAAGCATGCTGGCAAACAGCTTGGCCGGCAGTGTGCCCACGGCAATGCCGCGGTAGCCGTCACAGCGCAGGTGGTCCGCACCAGGCTTGCGGATCGGTGTCAGCGCACTGATCGCCCACTGGGCCGGCAACGCCCCAATCCGTACACAGGCGTTAAGCAGCGCGACGAGCCAGCTCAGCCCCCACATCTTGGTGCTCGGATGGCGCGATGCCGAACAGCGTGGCCACCAGCTGTCTGGCAGCCCTCAGCGCAGCATCAGCCGCATCCAGCACCTTGTGCTTCTCCTCTTGAACGGCAGCTCGGTGCACGGGCAGCTCCTTGCCCAGAGCTTCTGCCACGCTGGCTGGATCCGGAGCCGCCAGGCTCATGGCGCACGCCATGAGCAGCTGGGCATGGGCCCGGTGGGCAGAGATCTGCACACAGGAGATGCATTCCAAGCACCATCATATGCGTCAGCCTCCCAACCAAGTGCCGAGTGTTGTGCACAAGCAGCCCAACAACCGCATCGCTTTCTTCACGTGACACCTGCTCACCTGGTAGCGGGTGGCACCACGCTCCCCCGCCAGCTGCACTGCATATTTAGCACCCGTCTGCCCTATGTTGAAGTGCTTGCTGAGTGCAGCAGACAGGGCATTGATGCGGCTGGCAAGCACGCTTGCTTGTCTGCCCTGCGTCCTAAGCCTCCGCAGGCGCACGAGCTCATCCGCACACAGCTCCAGCTCAGCTGAATACAGCTGCAGGCACAGCAGCAGAGCAAGATGGTTGAGATGTTAGCAACAATCTTTGCTGCAAACCCAAAAGAGTCTATCAAGCACCACATCCATCCATCCTACAGCTGCACCAGACTATCAGGCGAACGGGCACTGCCCTGCTCCCTGTCCCCATCCACCTGCATCAGCTCCACGCAGCACAGCGACCTGCCCATCACCGCACGCAGCGCCGGAGTGATGTCGGGGTGCGGCACAACCATCTCGCGAAGCACCTCATCAGCCCTGTCCGGCGCCAGCTGCTGCGCTTCAGCCAGGCGCAGCACGGTGGCCCTGCACAGCAGGCACAGCAGGCACAGCTGTCCCTTGACCTTCAGTGCTTGCTGGAGACAGCTGCCCCATGCAGACTGGAGCCATGGCCAGGCTGTTGCCCAGCAGTTGCAGCTTGTGCCACACCTGGCTGTGTCGTAGACTTGGATGGTAGGTGGAGTGGAAGCCGTCTTGACCAGCCGCTTGAAGCAGGCCAGCAGCTTCTTGCCCTCGGCCTGCAGCTGCATCAGGGCCTGCCTGCACTCTGGCGAGCCTGCGCCCTTCATGGCAGCTGCTGCGCGCTGGGATAGGCTGGACAGCGCGGCATCTGCCCCCCCGATCTCCAGGTGTGCCTGCTGGAGGAACTTCCGCTCCGCCGCATCAATGCTGTGCTTGTTCAGCAGGCGGCCGTAGCGCATGATCTGGCCCACCGGGGCGCGGCACTTCATGCAGGTCTTGCCCTCGGAGAAGCCCTCCTGCAGCAGTGCCAGGCATGACAGGGCGCCGGAAACGCTACAGGGTGTTGAAATCCGGATATTCAAAGAGAGGCGCTTGGTGCTTGCAAAGCAGGCCAGGAGCTGGAGGGGCGCTGTCGCACCTGGAGCATGTAGGGCGCCTCCCAGCTCTTGTCGGCCCGCCTGGTGTAGCCCCCACGCACCTCCTTGCCGCCATCCTGCACAGCCAGGAGGATGTGCATTGTAGTGCCAGCTGCCAAGGCCAGCGCCCGGGCGGGCCCGCTCCGTACCACAGCTGGCATGAGGGTACTCAGGCACTGCATGCCAGCACGTAACCACCAGCCTGCCCACCTTTGTCGAATGGATCTCGGCCGCTAGCTCCATGTAGCTGTCCATAGCAGACACCTGCGGCATGTGAACGACCACGGGGCCTTTGGGCGGACCCACCCAGGGGATGGCTGCTGGAGCAGATGGCTGATGGCTGCTGGTGCATGCCAGCGGCTGCTCACCGGCGTGGCGTGGCCGCACGGCAGGCAGATGAGCGGGTCCTGCTCCACCTCCTCATCAGACAGCTGCGTGATGCTGCACTCCTTGAACATGATTGGATCAAACACCTGTAGCCGAGGGGGCGGGAGGGCACAGAAGCGGCGGCAGGCGGCGGCAGTGGCACAACCGCGAGGGGTCTCGGCGGCAGGGCGGCATAGAGTGCAGATCCAGTCTTGTGCTGACTCACGGTGGTGGTCGTCAGCCCGTGGTTGATGCAGAACCGAGGCGGCGGGCAGGGCTCGCCACAGATGCTGGGGCACTGGCACCCACACGCCAGGCGCTTGGCGCAGCGCCGGTCGCAGGGCAGCCTCACACACGGCGCGCCACATGGCATGGGGCACTGGCCCTGCAGCACGGCCCAGCACAGCTGTCACTCAACCATCGTTGAGGTGGCGATGCAGGCGGAGCGCAGGCCCCAGCTTGCCGCTGGTGCAACGCCCACCTCGTGAGGGCACTCCCAGGTGCAGGGCTCTGCGCAGGGCGGGCAGTACTCTCCACACTTCTTCTGGCAGGCGCTGTGGCTGCACCGCACGCCGCACGGCTTGGCGCATGGAGGGCACTGGCTGCGGGGATGGCACCGCCCTTCGCAGCTGTGCCCGCAGAACAGCGTGCGCCCGCACGCCAGCCTGCACTCGGCATGGCTGCACTGATCCGGGGCCGGCAGCTGCATGCGCTGCGTCCCACTGGGCAGCTCCACTGTCAGGCTGCTGCCCTGCTGCTGAGTTGCAAGGTTGGGCAGCGCCCTCTCACCCAGCTGCAGCTGCTGGCACACCCAGCCCTGCAGGCACTTGCCGCAGGTGCTGCTGCAGGGGTGCTCGCAAGGCAGCAGAGACTTGCAGGAATGAGTGCACATCCATGGCATGCGCTGCGGCAGGATCCGGGCAGCAAGCGGGAGGGCAGCAAGTGAGTAGCTTCACCAATCCGCGCCGATGCAGATGGCAGAGCAGCTGTTAGGGTCACGGCCCAGCTGGTCCTGAAACGTGCGGCATGCGGCGCACCTTGGTCCTGGCCACGTCCGAGCACGGCACGCGGATGATGTGGCGGCAGTGGGGCATCTGCACCTCCAAGAGCTGCTCGCACTGCACGCTCTCCAGCTGGCTGGTCCTGCAGGCAGCCGCGCGCCCAAAAGGAAAGGTGAGGGTGGGAATCGCACCGCACTGCCAGAACGGTGCACCTTACCTCCAGCACTCCAGCTGCGCCATGGCATGGCCGCAGGGCAGGCGCACGCTGGGCACGCGCACACGGCACTGCCCGCACTGCTCGTGGCACTTGTGCTGGCAGGGGTGCCCGCACGGCTGCGGGCGGTTGCACGGCTTCATGCACTTGGCGAGGCGGTGTTGCGGGTCGTCGCTGTGGCAGAGCCTGCAAATAGGGAGTACACGTGGCAGGCATGCCGGCAATGCAGATAGCCATGTGTGGGTGCAGCTGTCAGCCTGGCAACACAAGAAGGCAGAATCATAGCCCTGCCGCTGCTGCAGTTGATGTTGGTTGCTGGACATCCTCACCTTGGGCAGGCATGCCCGCAGGGCTGCAGCCGCTCGGTGCAGCTGCGGGAGCAGCCGCCGTCGCTGACACGAGTGTCAAAGTCAGCTGGCTGCGAGACAGCGTTGATGGCGTCGGGGTGCTTCTGGCACACCAGGTGGAAGGCGGGGCCGATGGCGCCCTCCTGCTCAAACATGTCCACCACCTGCAGGCGGGAGGGGAGGACGGCAGGAAGGCGGGTCAAGGCGTCCAGCAGAAGCCGAGGCATCGACGTACGAGTTAAATCTTGAATCAAGGCCCAGCAAATGAGGCTCAGGCCCTCCCACCTGTGGCCAGATGCCTGGCTGCTTGCTGTTGACGAGGCATTCCGAGTTGCCGATGATGAACATGCCCTCCTTGGCCCGGGACAGCAGCACGTTGGTGCGGTTTTGCAGCCGCACAAACCCGATCTGATTGTCCCTGCAGCACAAGAAGGCACAGGGAGGGGACGGGGAAGGCACAGCAGGCGGCAGTCGGCTGGAGTCGAGAAAGTGCAGAGTCAAGGGGAGCAGGACTGCTGCTAGTGCCCCCTCGTCTCCCTCACCTGTTGGAGCGCACAAGGGACAGGATGATGATGCGGTTCTCCTCCCCCTGCAGCAGTGCGGCTAATCGTGAACATTCCTAACCCTGGGGCACCACATACTGCCGCTGGAAGGCTAAGATGACGCTGACCTGGTAGTTATCGATGGTGGCCAGACGCACGGCATCCTTCATGCTGACCTCGCGCCCAGCACCTGCAACCAAAGGGCAACCATGTCAGCAGCCAGGGTGGTCGCAGCAGGAGATAGGTCCATGCTGGGGGAGGCAGTGCCTCGTCAGCTTCTGCCACCTCAGCGCCACCTCAGCCGTCCTGCCACTCACCTGCCGCCGGTGCCCCCTCTGGCTCCTCCAGCTCCGCCAGCTCAGCAGCATCCCGCTCATCCATGGAGATGCAGAAGTGGCGGGAGGCCTCGCGCCGCAGCTGCAGCAGCTGACCCACGTAGGGCGTCAGGATCGTGATGCTACCTGCAGGCGGCCACAGGCGCAGCGGGAGAGTACTCCATCAACCAAGCAAGCCTGCTGCACGCATGCCAGCAGTGTCGACTGCATTGCCAGCAGCTGGCTGGTGGGACACACTTCGCTGCTGCCTCCTTCACTCGCCTCCTCCGTAGCCGTTCTGCACCAGGTAGCGCGCCAGGCGGGTGGCCATCTGGGCCTCGTGGGCGTTGAACTTGGAGGACAGGTCGTCCCTGTCGCCGCCCTCGGGCGCGGTGTGGGTCATCCAGAACACGCAGCGCTGCATGCCCTTGACGGCGCGGTAGCGGTGCACCTTGGGATGGTCCTGCAGCAGGCCACGTGCAGGGGAGGGCGGCAGGCTCAGATGCCGGGAGTGACAGTGGCAGAGGCTGGCAGGCAAGCTCGGCATGGAGATCAGCACCAACGCCAGGGAAGGACGGGGAGAGCTTGCCTTGAGGCTGGGGTAGATGGTGGCCCTGATGAAGCGGCTGATCTCGGGGCGCATGCGGTGCTGCTCCGACAGCGTGTTGACAGGCAGGCCGCCCTGCCGCACGACGCGCTCAAACAGGGACAGGTCCAGGTTGTAGCCGCTGTTGGAATCCATGGACAGCTGGTAGGTCTGCGGGTGGGGAGGGGAGGCACGGGAGTGAAGGTTGGTGGCTGGCGCGGGAGGCAACAGGCACGGCAGCTCGGCAGGCTGGGCCCGGTGGCGGCGGCGGTGGGTGGCAGGCGCCTCGGCTGGCCTGGCTCGGCTGGCAACGTGGCCTGGTACGGCTGGGAACGTGGCGCCTGGCCTGCCCCTGCACTTGCCTGGACCTTGGGGCGCAGCTGCTCGTGGTCACCGATGAGGATCAGCTGCTCGGTGTGGCGGGTGAGGGAGGCCAGCACATGAGCCTCCAGCACCTCGGCAGCCTCCTCGCACACCACAATCTGCAGGGCAGCGACCGAGCGGCGCGAAGGAACACGGCAGGCTGTGTCGGCGAGCAGGCAGAATGCACGCAGCCAGCGCCAGCCTGCGGACTGGTCATGCTAAGCTGCAGAGGCTGGCAGTACCAAGATGAAGCAAGGCAACCCCAGCCTCCACAGCCGACCTTGACCCCCAGGGAGGCGATGAGGCTTTGGTGCAGAGCCACGCCAGATGTGGTGGCCCCAATCACTTTGGCTCCTCGCAGAACCTGCAGGCAGGACCAGGGGGGACAGGCAAGCATCAGGCAGGTACCAGGCAGGCAGGCGGGGATAGATGGGGCGCTATCCAAAGATGAGCCACAAGCCCAGCGGCGCGCAGCCCACCTCGAGATTGCTGGAGTCGTGCACGCGGCGCAGGCGGTCGATGCAGCCAGAGTAGAGCTCCATCTTGCGGTGCAGCGAGGACAGCAGGTCCTCCTGCAGGGTGCGCTTCAAGTGGTCCACCAGGCGCTGCCGCTGCGGCCTGCTCGGCGGGCACGGCAGAACAGGACGCAGCAGCGAGGTCATCCCACCGTGACGTCGTTGCACCCTGCATGTGCCGAAGCAGGAGCAGCAAGCACGTGCGGTGTCATCGCTGCTCCCCGAGCAGGCTGGCGGCAGGCTCACATGGGGAGGGCCCAAGCGTCGTCTGCATCCAGCAGCCTGGCCGCACCCGCCCCCTCCACTGACTCCAGGCTGCTGATGCTGCTTGCGTCGTCATCCATCTCAGCAACAGCCGCATCATCTGCAGCAGGCAAGTACGGCGGGCAGGGGGGAGGCTGTCAGGCATCACCTCGTGCACCAGCCTGGCACCACGTCCAGCGCAGCTCATGGGGTGGCCCCAGCAGCAGCCACAATGATGGCAGCTGTGCAATATGCTTGCCTGTCTCAGCAGGCTGGGGCTCCTCTGGGCCCACCTCGACATCCATTTCGGCCAGCACACCAAAGCCGCGGCGGGCAAGCGCCTGCACCTGCTGTGCCCGCTGTGCCTGCTGCGCCCGCTGTGCCTGCTGCTCGCTGACGCCCCGCCCTGGCTGCTGGCTGGCTGTCGGGCGCTGCAGGTCTTTGCCATGCATCCACCTGCCCCATGCTGCAGCCGATGACTGGCCTGGCTGCCAGTCACTGCCAGTCTCCCCCACCTGCACAATTGGAAGCGCTCACATGTCAGCGTCCCAGGTTAGCCAGCCTGGTGGGCGAAGCGCCCAGATCAGTGAGGCGCCGCCACGCAATGGCCCACCAGTGAGAGGTACAGGTCAGGCGCCAGTGATTCAAGATGGTCCCTCACTGCATACCATGGCAGAGAGTTCCTGCAACCAGCAGGGCGGGTTTGCTGACACGCTATTCAGCACAGCCAATTTGCCTTCATCATAGTGTGGGCTCACTGCTTCAAGCATCTCACCTGACGGCTGCCAGCTTCTCCACAATCTCCTTGCAGTCCCGCTCGTACTGCTCCATGCTCCCATAGCACTCGGCAGCCAGGCGCCGCTCTGCAAGGCAACACTTTGTATTTATGTAGAACGGCAATTGGTGCAGTTACCAGGGGGCAGGCTATCAAGTGTATGGTGGCACAACACTCTGATGCTGCGCCCGCCGGGGGCAGCAGGTCGCTGTGGCACTTGCCTGCCATCTTGGCCTGGCTCCCCCTCGTGATCTCGTGCAGGCTATGCTGCTGGAGTGCCGCCGACTTGGATCTTCAGCAGGCCAAGCGCACAACAGGAGGTCAGAAAGGGAACAGCTGGGAAGTGGCTGCTGCGCTCCTGGCGAGGGAAGCCGCGCTTTGCTTCTGCCGCTGGCCACGGCAGCCAGGAGCACAACCACTCACTTGCTACCGATGCGGATCATCTCTTCTGGAGCCTCAATCAGCCCCGCCAGCTTCACTCCTTCCAGGAACTGGTCCAGCGCGTGGTTGGTGTAGCACACGCACAGCACTGGCAGCTCGCTGGCCGCCAGGTTGTGCAGCAGCGCCCGCATGAGCTGGATGCCAAGGTATGTCTTGCCGGTGCCGGGGGGGCCCTGGATGAGAGCCAGCTGCTGCATCAGGCCGGCCTGCGCCAGGCAGGCAGCAGGCATCGAGTATAAGCAGGACTGGATGCGGCCTTGTGGCTTCCAGTGGTCAGCAAGATATTCCAGGACAGAGGCGGCACCCATGCCGCGCCACAAGCACCAACCCGTTGTCTGCCGGTGCGCAATGCTGCGGGTCCAAGCGCCACCAAGTGCATGTGTACCTTGAGGGAGGCAATCTGGTCCGGGTCCAGAGTCGTAAGCGCGGTCAGGGCGGCAGTCGGGAAGGCGTCGGAGTGCAGCAGGCTGACTGCCTCTAACTCCTGCTTCCAGCGGGCTGCCCGCTGGGGAGCCAGTTCAGCCACCTTGCTACCATCAACCAGCACAGAGAGGTCGTACACATGCTTGCTGGTGCCGAGGAAGGCTGGCGGCTGCACCTCTGCTGCGTGGCCTGCAGAGCGGGGAGGCAGGTGCCAACGCGATTGAGCAGGCTGGAATGAGGTGGAGTTGGAGCCAGGCGAGAACAGGCAGGCAGGCAAAAGCTTGAATCTGACAGGTGGCCTGCGCTGCAGTTCATGCGGTGATACCCACCTGGGTGCACGGTGGCGGCATGTACTGTAGGAGGCACAAGGTACTGCTGCAGGGGCAAGAGCTCCATGCGCTGCAGCGCCTTGAGAATGGGGTCATACGCAAAGAAGCTGCCACTGGATTGCAGCATGACCACGCCGCTGCTTGGGGAGACGGCATCGAGGGCGGGAGGGGCGCGCCACTGCTGCCTGCCGCTGCCGCCGGCGCCGGTGCTGCTGGCGGTAAGCAGCTGAACCACCTCCCGTAGATCCTCCGCATGGCTCAGTCCAGACCCCAGGCTGCAGCATAGAATGGCGTTAAGAGTAACATGAAGCATCCACTGGACACAAAACACAAGCTCCAGCAGGATGGCTGTGGAACATGGCAGCACCTGATGCCGATGCTTGGCCGGAAGTCTGCTGGGGGGTTGCGAGGTGCCAGCCTGTCCACGTCCCGCTGGCTGATGGTGGCAAACACCAGGCGCTCTTCCTCTGCGCCGCCCGCTTGCATGGATGGGGGCAGCAGAAGGCAGACAAGCGTGCCGTGCTGCAGGCGCTTGGTTTTGGTCCAGAAGTCCCGGCGCTGCTCGGTGGTCTTGCGAGCGCTGCTCTCCAGATCATCAAAGGTGATCTGCATGGCAGGGCACACGCAACGTCACATCACATGTGTCGTTGCAGGCGGTGGACCGAGGCAGAAAGATGCATGCCAGGAGGGAGACGCGCAAAAGCAGGCAGGCATGCACAGAGCGGCGCGACAAGCACTCACGATGAAGTGCACTCCAGCCCACTTGTTGAGGTGCACCGCCTCCACCACAACGTTCTTGTAATCAAACACCTGGGGCAGTAGAAGGAGCAGAGACTGTTTGGCAAGAAAGCAACTAATCAAGCAGTCGAGATCCTGGCATGCACAAGCGGCCACCACGGCTTCCCTTGTCTGGCTAGGCCAGTGAGGCGACCATTCACACTCTCACCCTGACATCGCGGATGGCAGATGCAGCGACAGACAGCAGCAGCCTGCCCTGCTGCGTGCCGCCGCCTGCGGCACCTGCGCTGCGGCGAGCGCTTGCCGCCTGGTACGCCGCCACTCCAGCACACAGCTCAGCGATGATGTCGTGGCGCATCAGCCTGAGGCGTGCACGTGGGATTGGGGCACACACACTGCCTCAACAGGTGATCTCCAGGTACCCAGGTGCCCACACGGCGTGCCTGGCGCCTCTGCTCCAGGCTGCATCATGCACACAGCTGCCCCGACCTGAACTGTCGGTCGATGTGTGCCTCTGCCGAGCCGGGGGGCAGGTGGCTGGAGGGGCCCTTGGGCAGGTAGGGTGCCACGCTGCACAGCACCTCGTCGCTGGTGGGCATGATGGAGATGCGGCGGATGTCGGCGTGGTCATTGCTGTGCCTGCGCACATCCGTGGAGGCGAGAAGACACGATGCAGGCCCATGCTCAGTCCTTGTGTAGTTTGTGGCCGGGGCTCCACCTGGCCGACAGACCTCGTGGCATCCACATTCGCAGGCTTAGCAGCAGCCCCTCTCACCCACCTGCGCCCTGCCCCGCGCAGCTCCCCTGGCCCCTCCAGCAGGCTCTGACCTCCCTGCTGCTTGCCAAACAGCCGATCGTGCGTGGCATTCTGCTTCCGCATGTGCTCGCGGCACCGCTTCTGGTCAGCCTCGTACTCCTGCCGCTGCTCGTGCTGCAGTAGCAACCTGCAGCAGGATGCAGCACGTCTGACCTCAAGAACATATCTGGTTTTCTGCGTGGTACGCACAATCTGTCCACACAAACGGTGCAGATGCCAGGCTGGCTGGCTGGCAGGCAGGCAGGCGAGCGGGCAGGCACAGCAGGCGCAGCAGGCGCAGCACGTAGCGCAGGTAGCACCTGTGGATGTCCTCCACCCGCCCCGCGACCACAGCATGCAGCGGTGCCCTGCCCTGCTCCTCTTCCAGGCTGGAGCAGAAGGCCGTGATGGCATCGGTGCACGCGCTGGCGCCGGCTGCCAGGCGCCGCCGCTTGTCCTCAAACTTGAGAAGCACCTCGTAGAAGAAAGCCGCAATGGGCTGCGCCAGCTCGCCGCAGTCCGCTGGCGCCCAGCGGGCACGGTCCCGCTGCACCAGGCAAACGTGGGCAGGGTCCCAGGCACGCATGTGAGAGAGTGGGCCAACAGGGGCGCAGACGACCTCGCTGCTGGCGCGCGCGGTATCAACACGATGTGGAAGGGGAGACGAGGGGGCACGCGAGGGCTGCACACCTACCTCGCCCACTGTGTGCCTGGGGTCGGCATCTGCGATGCTGCCGGCGGCAGCCAGCTGCGACAGGCAGGTAGCCACTGCCTGGGGGTCTAGCGTGTCTGCGATGCGGGCCAGCACCGGGTTGCTCAGCTCAGTCAGAGGGTTGTTGAGGAAGCGGCGGCTGGTGACCAGGTGCAGCAGCGGCACGATGACACGCTGGAAGGACACCAGGGTGCGGTTGTTGCCTGCCTGCAGCCACGTGGCAGCCGGGGAGCACGACAGTTGCGCAGCATGCAAAACATAAAAGGATCTGGTTGGCGGCAGCGAGGTGTGGCCACGTCTCGTGCGGCGTGGGCGCACCAAGCGGAGGCACCTGGCAGGCGCTGCCGCTGGGGCTGGCGGCGCAGAGCACTGGGTGCTGGCTCACCCGAATCGTGAAGGGCGCGCGGCAGATCTCCTCTATGGCCTGCAGGCAGTGGCTGTCGGGGCCACCCAGCAGCTGCAGCACATAGCCTGCATCCTCCTGCAGGCGGCTGTACGCGTCCTGCACCAGACTGGCCATGTTGAACTGGCTGCCTTGCAACGTCAGGCTGCCGCGGGCATAACCGGGCAGCAGGCTGACGCCATTGGAGCGCTCCCTCCTGTCTGCCGGCGCCCCCCGAGAGCTTCCCAGGCTCGAGGCAGCTGCAAGCGCAGTCGCGACCTCCAGCCATGTTCAGGTGCGCATCGGACCGCCTGCCTGTATATTCGCAACACGTGCAGCGCAGAAGGTGCAAGGCCACCCCGGGTGGCAACAAGGTCTCCGTGGTGACCGTGTTGGGCCAGGTCACCGCCGACCTGGCGGGCGCTACCAGTCCCGAGGGCGCTGTGGCGGCGGCCTGTGCTGGCCACCAGAAGACATCAGAGACAGAGGTTGTTACATGTGTGTGTCATGCAGCGGGCGCATCAGTGCTCTGGGGCATGCGTCGTCTCGTAATCGAGGTGCACATACGCCCGCGCCACCTCTGGCAGCATCTCCAGCTTGAACTGCAGCGCCTCGCCTATGTCGTGAGCTTCTTTGAGCCGCATGTCTTCCGGCAGTACGATGTCGATTTCCGCAATGAATGTTGAGCCGTAGCTGAAGGCTCTGCAGGTGCGAAAGTCACAGATACAGGCCTTTAGTGCCACACAGGCGTTGCATCAGGGCGCGCTGTCGCCTGTGCCGGCCACCGCTGTTCCTCTGATGATCTGCGGCCCCGGGGTCCAAGCTCACCGCACGGTGTCGATCTGGTGCACGCGCTGGTCGTGGTAGAAGGCCAGGTACGTCAGCTTTTGCAGCAGCTCGGGCGGCGCCGACAGCCCCACCAGGTTGAGAATGTGCTCCCGCGCCTGGCAGCAGGCAGACAGGGAAGCAGCTCGATGGAGCCAGGCGCAAACCGGTGCAGCAAAGTGATGTGTTGGCACGCCAGCACGCATGCTGCTGCCGAACGGCAGCAGGGCGCACCTGGCTGCCCCAGGCCCACACCACCCAGAGCGACAGCAGTATGGCGATGGTTGGGTCCCAGAAGGCCGCGACGCGGGCGCCCAGCAAGGCACCTGCGTCAGAGGAGAGGCAACAGCAATGCAGGCGCAGTTGGCTGGCTGCAGCACCACATATGCTGGGAAGGCTTCGCACGCTGGATGCTGGTTGGGGCCACAGCCCACCAGAGCGGCTCCGCTCCTGCAGATGCCGTCAGCCTCACCCTTCAGCCACAGCCCTGCCCCTCACCCGCAGCCCTGCCCCTCACCCGCCAGGCCCACCCCGTTGACCAGCACATCGTTCAGGTGGTCTAACGCAAACGCCCGCACCGCGGGGTTGCGGTTGCCGCGGCAGAAGAGGAACAGCGCGAGCTTCATCACCACCACAAACACAGTGGCGCCGGAGATGAGCCACAGCTGTTGCGTGGGCAGGCCCTCGTCTTGTGGCGGGCTGATGAGCGCCTGGCAGGCGGAGAAGAAGGGGAGCGGGCCAGGCAAGTCCGGGGATCGGTGCTTCAAGGAAGGGGAGCGGGCACGCGTCCGCTGGCGCCACCTCGCAGGTTCACACGCCCACATCATACCGCAGCCCCAGGGTCGCACCTTGACCGACTCGAGGATCACACTGATGCAGGCCGTGGCCATGCAGGTGGAGAAGACAATGACGCCTGCAGGCAATTGGGGTCCAGCGGGGAAGGCGGGAAAGGTGATGGACCCTCTCTCATCCACCTCACACGGCCAGGGGACGTGGCCTGGCAACACCGCCAGAGGCGGCAGCTGCTTCACAAGAGCCCCGCGAAGCGCCGGCTGCTCACGGGAAGCCCTGCCCCGCGGCAGCGCCTCACCCAGCGGCTCCATGCGCTCCTTCCCAACCGGATACAAGTACTTGTTCTCCCGCTTGGACTGCCAGGACGTGTAGTACAGCATGGCTGGAGCACACACAAGTTGGGGTTGTTGTTGTTTTCTTCCTGTTTGTTTTCTGGCTTTGTACTTGCCAGCAACAGCGAAGGCCGCCGCACGTGAGCCACCCACCAGAGGAGATGACATCCAGCACGGCATCGATGGTGGCCGTGTAGAGCGACAGCGAGCCCGACACCACCGCGATCCCCACCCGCACCGCCAGCAGCACGCAGTTGGCGGCAAACGACAGGTTCAACGCGCGCGCCACCGCCGCATCCTCCTGCGCCGGCACGAGCAGGTGGGCCAGCCGGCGGCTCAGCGCCCCAGGCAGCCAGTTGGAAATCGCGAGGCGCCTGTTCCTCTGGCTTGCTGTCTGCCCAACTGCGACAGAGCACGCGGTGCGGATGTGCTGACGACACCGAGGTGTCTGACAGGCACCGCACCTCCTCGCGGTCGTTGGAGTAGAGGCCCCTGTGGATGGCTTGCGTCCCCAGCAGTGAGTCGATATGCTCGTTCTGCGCCAGGTAGTAGTCCTCGAGCGCGGCCCGCCGGCTCCTGCTGGTGCCATTCAGCAACCTCTGCAGTGCCAGGCCAGCACAGGGTGGTGGTGGTGCAACGGGTTGAGTGGGACCCGCCGCGTCGGAAGCCGAGCCGGTAGGCGAGCGGCGGGCCCCGTCTGGGGCCTAACCCAGCGCTGCCCAGCACTGGGCAGGGCTCTGCTGAATTTCCCACCGAACATGCTCTGCCCAGCGCAAGTGCTGCACATGCAGCGCGAACAGGGCGCTTGTGGGCAGCGCCAGCGCCTCGTTAGCGCTGGAGCGGCGGCGGTGACCAGCGCTGCCCAGCACCAGCGCCGCCCAGCACTGCCCCCGGGGTGCTGAGCAACCCTGGTCGGTGGGAAATTCAGCAGAGCCCTGCCCAGTGCTGGGCAGCGCTGGGTTAGGCGCCAAATGGGCGGCGGCGGCGGCGGCGCAGAGGGCTTGCCTCACCGCACTCCACGCATCTTGTCGCGCACCTCTAGCTGTTCCGGCGTCTTCTTATGCTGCGCGAGCAGCGCAATGGGCGCGCTGAAGCTGGGCCGAGCCAAGCCAGGTTTGCGGGCAGGGGAGTTCGCCCTTGAAGTGCCAGCCTCGATTTCGCCAATACTCGAGAGCAGTGGGGCGGTGGGGTCGGAAGTTTGCGACATCTAGGGCTCTCACCCACATGCGGGCAGTTTCAAGGAGCACTGCTCACATAAGCTGTGCTCAGGCCGCAAGAGAAGCGACGGTTCTGATCGCTGGCGGCCCTAGTCGCATGGTCAGGGCGGCTGCCAGCTGGCGGCCACGCTGGCAGCCGCCAAAGATGATCCAGCTGCAGGCATCTTCAAAGATGATCCATGGATCATCTTTGGCATCTTCAAAACTCATTGGTCAATGCTGCAATGATTTACACATGCCCTAGGAGAAATGCCGAGCACATCCTTCATCTGCCCCCCCCCCCCCCTCTTGAAGCCCCGCGATCCCGCCGCCTCGTTGCAGCCGCCACGTGGCGTGCACACCGCCGCCAACTTCTGGCCGATCTGGCAGGCCGGCACTGCCATCTGGCAGAACTAGGCCAGCACATCTGCGGCAGCAGCAGGCAGGCGGCCTCAGCGCTGGGTTTGGCAGCATAGGCACCAGTGGCGGGCTGCAACACTGGCAGGGCACAGCCCGCCGCACACAACTTACGGTATCCGACGATGTGACCCGGTGCCCGCACAGCCTTCAGCCGTGGCTTGGTGCGATACAGGGCGCAACCCCGGGCGCTCAAGGTGAAGCGCAGGCAGCCAGACATGGTGCGGCACAACTTGCAGCAGGCGGCATAGGTGGTGGCGCCCTTGACGCGCAGGGCGGGCTTGTCGACGAAACGGGCGCCGCGCACAGGCTTTCCGCACTTGCGCTTGAAGCAGGTGCGCTTCTTGGGCGCTGAAGGAGAGTGGAGAAGCGGGGTGGCAGGCCTCAGCAGCTCAAGTGTGCAGTTCCTCAACACCCACCAACAAAAATTCCCTGCCCCCCATCCCAACGCAGGCACAGCTCTGTTGTGCTCACCAGCGGCGATGCTGGCTCCAGCAACAGAAGCACGCACGGCAGTCTTTGGGAGGGCGCTCCGGGCAAGGGGGCAAGTCTGGCACCACACTGAGTTGGGGCACTTGGTGTGACGCCCCTCCACAATTCGGTCGCCCACCTTGCAATACTCTGCATGGCCGGGGCCACATGGGAGGCCGGCGTCTGGTGGGGATCCGCCAACAGGGGTTTGGCCTCACGCCGCGGGTGCCGCGGGTGACAGCCGCCCCCGTGGCCAGCAAGCTCGCTAGTTGGCTTCCAGGCAGCAGCCAGGCATGCTCACCATAGCACTGCTCCCTCGGCTTGTCGCAACGCTTTTCATCGAACGGCGACTGGCTGCATGTCTCTGCGGGCGGGGGGTGGGTGGGGCACAGGGCGGTGGTGGCCAGGGGGCGGGACTGCATTTACGTGGGCCCCTGGGGTGTGGGCCCCCGCAGTGTGGGCCCCTGGGCTGGCGATGGCTGCGGCGGCACGCCCTGTTGTGAGCGGCGGCGCTGGACGCAGCACCCCGTTGTCGGAGCCGGAGCTGCAGCACCTGCGGTTCCTGAGGCGCCTTCTGGCGCTGCCGCGCAGCACCCCCGCCGCCACTATCCTGGCAGAGGCAGGCCAGCCGCCGCTCCATGCCCACTGGCTGCGGCAGGCAGCCCGCCTGTGGAACAGCTTGGTGACCGCCCCTGAGGGCAGCATGCCGCGGCTGGTCGTGCAGGCAGCGGCAGCGGTGGCAGTAGATTTGCGCAGACGTGCCGCCACAGCGGCAGCCTTGGGCCGCCCAGCTGGCGCACAGCCTCCGGGCTGTGGGCCTGACGTTTGAGCCGCTCCACATGGACAAGATCAGCCCGGACGGCGCGCAGCAGGCAGCCTTGCGGCTCCACCTGGCGCGTGTGACGCAAGAGACGCCCGCCCACACCCGGCTGCGCCACTACTTCTAGGCCGCGGCTAAGAAAGGCCTTCTTTGAAGGCGCTGGAGCTAGTGTCTAAACCCTCCGAGAGGGCACAGGTTCGATTCCTCCCATGTCGAAACTTTGTGAGGACAAACGCGGCATAGCTGACCGGCTCAGCGCCAATCCAAGCCAATTCCTTCGGGAACGCCTAATAGAATCGCCAAGGCTTCGGCACAGGCCTCCCCGGGACCCATTCACTACTAGTGGGGGGTACTGCACTTGGCGCGTCGGGCAGATCAAATAATGGTCTAAAGCTAGACGTTAAAACCGGGAAGTTAAGCTTGTGGAGGCTCTTCCCCACCTTTACCTTTACCTTTACTTCTGCGATGTGCGCCCGGAGTGTTGTAGCCTGGATGGCTATGGCCGCCCACCGTATGTCACGGAGGTGCGTGAACGGCGCTGCCGCCGCGGCCTGACCGAGCTGCGCACAGGCATGCACTGGGGGGCGGAGGAGCAGGGGCGACGCACTGGCACGCCCCGCGAGCAGCGCGTGTGCCCGCACTAT